GCACACAAGCCGAAGGCCAGTAGGGGGCTGGAGCCCAGTGCCCGCGATGCCTATTCCGCGGGCCCGAGGCATATGCCTTCCCCCCGGGGGAACTCGGGACCTCGCCAAGAGATTGGCGGGGAGGGTACACCCTGGAAGGCGCGGCCGACACGGGGAGTGGGAAAATACAGAAATGGAACCAAACAAAAAACAAACCGCATTCGATAAAATGGAGATAGAAAAGGAGAGTACTGACGTACCCAACAAGGAGGTGATGGAGATGGAACGGTCGCCGACAGACCAGCTCTGCCAGACGATATATATAGAGGATCTATTACAGGATCCTAATATGGAAGAACGAAAAGAACGTAAGGAACATTCGTTACCGGTTGTCCATATTGAGAAGCAAACTCTGGAACAGAGAATGGAGGAGGCTAGAGGAAGCCTTAGTCAGCCCTCTACCTCCTCATTCTTTAAAAGACCAGGCCCCAAATCATTTAAAGGAAGGACAGCAGAGAGTTACAGTCGTGACTCCTCTGCGATGGACACGGAGACGTACGAGATAAGCTCGTCGGACAGCGACGTAGCGGACTACAGCAGGAATAGGGGAAGAAGAGTCGCCATCGAGGAAGACTCTGATGTCTCACCACCGGAAAAGGTAAACATCGGGAACTCGGGTCTTCAAAGAACGACGGGAAACAGGAAAAGGGAAAGGATGGCCTCGGACTTGGATAGCGACCACAGAAGAAGCAGAACGACCGGAGATTATGTCGGCAGGAGGGAGGCCATAAGAAAATACAATGAGGCCAAGGAAGAACAACTACAAATAGACAGAGAAATACTCATTAGAGAGTACAGTTGTATGGATCTCTTTAAGAAGGCAAAAATGGACATAGATAAAATAAAAGACAACATGAAAGGGAACTCCATGGAGGAACTAGGAGAAAAAATAAGTGGTAACATGAAAGAGATCATGCGCATAGCGAGATGTTCCAGCAATTTAAAAGGAACTTTCCAGAAGAGTCTGAAGCTCGCCGCAGCCACATCAATGGGGATCTTTGAAATTATGAGAGAAAGATCTAAGCTATCTAAAGAAGACGCTAAATCGGAAGAGGTGAAATCATTAAAGCGAGTAATCGCTAAATTAAAATCTAAACTGGAGGATGGAATAGAAAGTGAGAAGAAAAAAGCACTGCAGGCAAAAGGCGAAGCAGAGGCCTATAAATCTGAGCTGCAGGCGCTTAAAAAGAAATATGAGAAAAAAGACAAAACTCCTAGTCCTAAGGAAAAGGAGAGAGAAAAAAGCAGTAGAGGAAAGTCTACATCGGACTCCACAAAAAAGAGCCCGAGAAGAACTCCCTCAGACCAAATAAAAGCAAGGGATAAGCTCATGACGTCTGAGTCAGAGCACATGGACGTTGACGAGAAATCGCCCAGACCGAAGAAAATTACACTGGACAACCCAGATAACTGGCCAGAAGTTATTCGACCAACGTTGTGCGGGAAACGGAAAATAATAGAGGAAGATCCGGTTTCAAAAAAGGCCATATATGAAGCCTATAAAAAGTAAATCTCGGAAGGCAATAAGGAAAGATCAGAACACAAACCAATGGTCAAAGAAGGAAAGTCCGAGGAACATAAAAGCAGGAAAAGAGAAACGGAGTTCGATCCGTTTGATCTAGCAAATACGATCAGAAGAATCGTAGCGGAGGAACTGTCCAAGCACAACAAAAAACCAGTGATCACGGACATTCAAATCCCAAAAACCCCAATCAGGCTAGATAAGGGAAAGAGCAAACCAACGGACAGAAACAAGCCACCAAAAGAGGAAAATAGAGTCTCCAAAGCCAACGCTAAAGGGACTCCAAAATATATCGAGAAGGAAGGATATGGGAAATCAACTCAGGATGAGGAAATAGATAGGGAAGGAAAAGACAAAGAACTCCCCTGGAGCAAAGTGGTAGGGAGGAAAGAAAAACAGGCAACAAGCTCGGGTAAGAAGACCGGAACTAACAAAACCCTTTCCTTTACACCGGGAAAACCTCCCAAAGTTTCACAAGTAGAAAGAAACAAAGACAACAGAAGAGTGCCGAAGACAGCAGCTATTCAAATTAGCTGCCGCGGAGAGACGTCGTACGCTGATGTCATGCGCACAGCTAGAACTAAAGTCGACATAGACGCAATGGGGATCCACGATCTGAGACCCAGGAAATCAAGAACAGGAGCCCTGCTACTGGAGATTCCAGGAGCAGAAAGCAGCGACAAGGCGGATAAGCTAGCTGAGAAACTGACGCAAGCACTGGAAGGACAGCAAGACGTTCTGGTATCGAGGCCAGAAAAAATGGCCGATATCAGAATAAAGGACCTGGAAGATTCAACAACAAGGGAGGATATCCTCTTGGCCTTGATTCTACATGGAAGCTGCCCGGAGAAGGCATTTAGACTAGGCGAAATAATCCCATCGATAAACGGATTGGGAACACTATGGATCCGATGCCCCTTGGCGGTGGCAAAAAAGATCACGAAGAACAGGCGGATACGTGTGGGCTGGGTGATGGTGAGGGTAGATCTTCTGCCCGAAAGGATCACCCAATGTTTCAGATGCCCGGGACACGTCAGGACGTAATGCAGGAGCGAATTAGACCGAGGCTCTCTTTGCTACAGGTGTGGAAAACCGGGTCACATGGCTAAGGACTGTGGGGAGGCAGCACACTGTATAATATGCGCAAGTAGAAACATGAAGGCAGACCATAGAATGGGAGGGCCTGCATGCAAACCCCCCGTACTAAAAGGGAAAAATAAAAAGGAGGTTAGAGCAAGCGGAACGGAACGTTCCCAGGATCGCAACAAAAACAAAGAGAATCTTAAAATGGAGGTGGAGGAAAATCACCCAAACCAAACCCCATCAGAGGAAAGAAAAGATAGGGAAACAAGCGTCGTCAGACAATTGGAGAAATGTAGCGTCAACGAGGGAGCTAAGTCCGAAACGGACATGGAAGTGGAAATGGACGAAGCGTGACCGGACACCCCAAAAATTCCCACAAGTACTTTAGAGGAAGACTGGCCGAAACTGGGAAACGTATGGTCAATGGCAGAAGAGAGAAAAGCGGACAAGAAGGAACAAGGGGACGGAGGAACCCAAATAAACGCTAATAATGGTTAATTTCCTCATACAAGCGAATATTAACCACGCTAGGGCGGCCCATGACCTGCTCATGCAATCGATGGCAGAAGGAGACTGCACACTGGTTATAGTCTCTGAACCGTACGTTGTCCCTAGAGATCATCCCCACTGGGCAACGAACGATAGAAAGTCAATAGCAATTACATGGAGGCAGACTAAGAACGCAGTACCCTGCACCCCATACAGAAAGGGGGAACACTTCGTTGCAATCCGCTGGGGAGATGCAATAGTAGTTGGCTCATACCTCCCCCCAAGTCTTGACACAAGAGAATTCGAGGATGCCTTAAATGACATGGAGAGGGAGATTATGTAGATCTCGAACAAACCGATCCTCGTAGCAGGAGACTTCAACTCAAAGTCGGACCTGTGGCAGTCTCCAATAAACGACTTACGCGGAAGAGTGATGGTGGAATGGACCAGCAGACTCGGACTGATCTGCCTAAATCAAGGAGGTAGAAGCACCTGTATCAGAAGTACGGGAGAGTCAATTGTTGACGTCACCTTCGCGAACCCCGTTGCGGCGCAGATAGTGAGAAAATGGACAGTATCAGATAGGGAGAGCATGTCCGACCATAAGTACATAGAAATGGTCATCTCCAACTCCGAACTACAACAAAGTAGGCTGAGAAATCCCCAACAAAGAAGATGGGCAACTAAAAGAATGAAGGAGGACCTCTTTACAGCTGCAATCTTGGCGAGTAATTGGCCAAAGGCAGCACAAGCGGAAGATCCGAACAGCGAGGAAATTGAAGCCCAGGCAACGAAACTTCAACGCACGCTTACGGAGGCCTGTGACACGGCGATGCCAAGGTCAATTCCCAGATCAAGAAAAGCCATGCCGTGGTGGAACGAGGATCTAAACACCCTCAGATCCGACGTAATCGCGGCAAGAAGAAGGCTGAAGAGATGTAGAAGACGTCCGACATATAGGCGGGACGAATTCGAAATGCTCTTAAGGCTAGGAGAGCTCAGACAAGCCTTAGGGAAAGAAATTAGAAAAGCCAAGGCAAAAGCCTGGGAGGATTTCGTGAAGACACTAAACGAAGATCCATGGGGCCGACCCTACAAGGTCGTTATGGGGAAGCTTAGGAGATGGTCTCCCCCATACACTGAGTCTATGGACGGCGATACTCTGGAAAGAGTGGTCACTGGGCTTTTCCCTCCAGGCGAAACGGACAACTGGGTAGAGCCTCAACTACCTACAGTAGGAACCTCCTCCTGGTCCGCAGAGCTGGAGGTCTCTCACGAAGAGGTACTCCTGGCCATCAAGAGGATGATGGAAAAAAGTGCGGCTCCTGGGCCGAGCGGAATCCCTGCTAAAGCATGGGCCCTGGCAGCTAAGGACATGATGGTGGAAATGAGGAAACTCTTCACCGAATGCCTCAAGACTGGGACTTTTCCCTGTCTCTGGAAGAGAGCCAAACTGGTCCTGCTTAGGAAGCCAGGGAAGCCAGAAGACCAGGCAGCGGGCTATCGGCCTATCTGTCTCCTGGACGATAAGGCCAAAATACTCGAAAGGATCATCTTCTCGAGAATAACAGCTCACTTAAATGAAAGAGGTCCCAACCTAAGCAAAAACCAGTATGGCTTTAGAAAAGGACGCTCCACAATTGATGCCATATCAAGAGCACGCGAATACATGGAAGAGGAGGGTAAGGTGGTGGTGGGGGCATCACTAGACATTAAAAATGCGTTCAACACATTGCCGTGGGAAGTAATTGGAGCTGCGCTAATCAGACACAAAATCCCGATGTACTTAAGGAGAATAATTCGGAACTATCTGGACTGCAGGAAGCTAACGTTCACCAAAGAGAACGGCAGAAAGGGAGAACAAGAGGTACGTAGGGTACGTAGGGAGAACAAGAAGTACGTAGGGGTTCCCCAAGGATCAATCCTGGGTCCCCTCCTATGGAACCTTGGTTTTAATGAAGTGATGAAAAGGGGAGACCTTCATCCGGAATGCTCGGTATTATGCTACGCCGATGACACCCTGGTTCTGACTAAAGGCGAGGACTGGGAGGAAGCCACAATGGAGGCGGAAATGGCGGTGGATATAATTGTGCAAAGAATCCAGGACATGGGGCTGGAGGTAGCCCCACTCAAGACAGAAGTGGTCGGCTTCTGTGAAAGGGGTAGGCCAGCGAACACGTTAATTAGCGTGGCAGGGGTCCAGATCTCCGTGGGAACGAGAATGAAGTACCTCGGACTCACGCTAGACACCAGATGGTCATTCGTGCCCCACTTCGAGGGACTATCGCCCAGGTTGGAGAAAGCGGCTCTGGCCCTGAGCAGGCAACTTTCAAATCTGGGTGGCCCGAATCGAAAGACGAGAAAACTGTATGTAAACGTTATTACATCGATGGCCTTATATGGAGCTCCAATATGGGCGAACAAGATGCTCAAGAACGGAAGAATAGTAAGAATAATACGCGCTGTCCAGCGAAGGATAACGGGTCGGTTGGTGAGGGCCTATAAGACCACCTCCGTGAATACAGCCCTGGCAGGGGTCCCTCCAATGGAGCTACAGGCTATTAGCTATGAAGAGATATACGAGAGAATCTCAAACATGAGGAGTAACAGGCCAGCAAACGACCAGACACAGAGGAAGGAAATCGACACCATCAAGGAGATCGCTAAAAAGAAGCTATTAGTATAATGGAGAGGATGGATTGACCATACTGAAAAGGAAGGGGAGGCTATACTGGGTGCAATAAAGGTACAGCTCAGAGAATGGGTAGAGGCCGGGGTGGGTCTCACCTTCCGGACGACGCAGGTCCTCTCGGGGCACGGATGCTTCGGGAGGTTCCTGTGTCGGATCGGGAGGGAGACATCAAATAGGTGTTGGCACTGCGACTCGCCAAATGACACGACGAGGCACACCCTGGGCTACTGTCCGGCCTGGGATACAGAACGGGCAGAATTGAAGAGAAGAATTGGAGCAGACTTGTCCTTAGGGGCGATTATAAGGGCCATCCTACAAGAAGAGAAAAGACACGCGGTCTCAGCCTTCTGCGAGGAGGTCATGACCAGAAAGGAGGCAGCAGAGAGGGCCAGAGAGAGAGGGGACCTGGCCACCTAGGCTTCAAAAACGTAGACACGAAAAGCCGAGAGTAGGTATACATATAAACCGTAACACTGCGAGACTCGCTCTCTTCATTTTTGATCCTGATCTGTGTTCGGTTTTCAACCAGTCAGTCATTCTCTCGCAGTTCATTTCGCTCAAATAAGAGTTTTTTTTTTGTTCAGTGCACAATAGAAGATCTTCCCTATTACATCAAGTACGAGTTGTCTGCGAGCTACTCCAAGTCCAGGACACTAACCAGAAAACCAAAGCCTACCGCAACAGTAAGTCCTTTCTTCCATATTCTTCTATTTAGTCGCGAATC